AAACAGTGTGAGAGCCTGCCAGTGTTGCTTAAATCCTCTTTTCTTCTCCATTCCCCGAGTCTCTGCCTTCTAGTCAACGCACACACTTATGTCTGTGCGTCTGTGTGAATGTTTCTCAGTGTGTGTGCACGTGTCAGTTGCTGTCTCTATTTAAACATCATACAGACTCACGAATGGCGTTCCAGCCAACCGAGATGAGAGCACACTGTTCACAAAGACTCTTACTCTTCCACTCTTTCTCTCTCCCACTCTGCTCCTTCAGTACTTCCTTTATACTTTGAGGTACCCATGGGATATCATTAGTGTTATTACCGTGTTGAGATAAATGTGTGCATGTACATCTGTATGAGTGTGTGTGTGCTGTTACAAGACATATGTGAGATGCTGCATGTCCAAACCCACCCTGAAGGGTTGGGGTATAATTACAGAGTAAGAGCTTTTAAAGATGCTGCTTTTAAGATTTCAAGTATTATGTTTTTTTTCTCTGTATCCTGCAACTTCATTCTTTCCTCCATCATTAGTGTCTATACATGTCAACATGTTTGTGTCTGTGTGTGTGTGTTTGGGGGGAGGAGGGGGTAGAGCATGGTGCTTGTGCTTTATCAGCCTCCTGAAGCCAAAGTAATGTTGCATCACTAAACCTCTCCTTAAGGGGTGAGGGTTAAGCATAATTACGGCTGCTGCTTTCATGTTTTGTCTCGCCTCGACTCTTCTCCGCTGCCACCATTGGGCTTTCATTCTGTATCAGAGGAGACTTTGCTCCTGTGGGGCTGCAGACACACACACACATTCATCAGGATTTTATTTGCTGATTGAATTAATTGGTGTATTTCATATCGCAATTTCAATCTTGTGCATGCATATATAAAAAGTAATTTACATCTTGATACCGCATTATTAACTTTGAGATACAGTAGATTCAGTTTGGCTTTGGATAAACTCAGATGTGGTTGTGGTTTTAGGGTTGCTACAGTATAAAGTAATGCCTATCCTACACTGTATATCCTGAAGTACTGTTTAAAATGGAATAACTACTTTAAGATTTCATATAGCCTGTAATGACCATAGTAAATATAGGAACTGATCTTTTGCAGAGCTCTGCTAAAAAGGTCACAAGCAGTTTACTGTGACAATGAGGCAAATTTACCATTCAAAATTATTAGTCATTTTAAAACCAACAGGTCCTTTATTTCACACAAAGAGACAAAAGCAGCTTTTTGTGGTCAGGTCCAATATATTATTGACCTGTATTAGCGAAACTTCATTAGACTTCTTTTTAGTCCTCTGCACTTGTCCAACAGCATCATGTCATCATTTCTTCCAGGTACTCTGGCTTTCTCCCACAGTCCAAAGACATGCAGGTTAGGTTGACTGGTGACTCTAAAGTGCTTGTAGTTGTGAGCGTGAGTGGTTGTCTGCCTCTGTGTGTCAGCCCTGTGATAGACCGGAGACCTGGGTGTACACCCACCTCTTGCCCAGTGCTGACTGGGATTGGTGTGATGTGTTCTTTGACTTCTGAAGTATCACTGTGTTCCTCCTATCAATGGTAGTGGAAACTGCAGCTGAGCTTGTGTTAGAGCTGATGAGCACACCATTGAATCCATTCCTTGCACCTTCGCTCTTGTGTGTTTTTGATTTATTAAAGGCTAAAAAATACACTACTCTCCTTACTTTTTGGATTATTGCAGTCCTCTGCACACAGGCTCAACATACTAGGAAATCCAAAGTTTGAGCGGGGAGGTGTTTAGCAAATGGTCAATTACCAAAATCTGTCTTCCTTAAGTATTTTAATTCATATGCGGTATTGAATTTGACCAAACATTAAAACTGATTTCTTATTGAGTGTGGCTCTACTCACCTATTAAGGCCTAATAAACACACATACACAGTCAGCACACAGTTTACACAAATGAAGGTAACATTTCCAATAACAGTCTAGTGACAGAGCTCAAACATATCCACACAATACATGATAGACTTGCTTCTCATCTCACACCCTCCTCCCCTCTCCTGCTATCAATCATCTCACACCCTCCCCCTGTCAGCATTTCTTTCTTCCCGACTGTTTTTCTGCCTGCTCACTCAACCTGTTAGTCTGTTCCTCTGTTGGTCTGTCTTGGCATGACAGTACTGACTGCAGGGTTGTGTAGGAGTGCATGTATACGGCTTTACTTTACCTGAACAGAAAGGAAATGTACAGTATGACCACACATGTCAGTTGTCATTACAGGAAAACAACAAAGTGATCATACTCTGTGTTCACATATGCAATGATAACATTACTGTTTTAGTGTATGCTGACATACGTATGTGTTAAGTGGTGATTGTGTGTATACAGTATAATTTTATAGGTCAGTGATGGCTGTACATTTTACAATACATGAATATGTACAATTATGTTTTCGTCAAGCCGCAATTTGTGCCTCTGAAGTACTATTATTAGACTGAAGGCACAGAGCTGCATGTCTTATCTTCTGAAGAAAAAATATCTGGCAATCTTAAAAAAAACAAAAAAACAAACAAACACAAAAGGTCCTTTAAGACCCTTAATATTCTGTATGCTGCAGAATAAAAAATATCTTTAACCTGTTCCTCAAATCGTTTCCTAGAGCTGCGAGTTATTAGAACAGGCTGTGTGTGTTATGTTGTGCAGCGGACAAAGTCATTTTTTTCAATCAGTTGGCTTTTAGGATTTTGGAATTACCTTCACAACAGTGATAAGTGCTGTTAAATGACCACGCAGGTTTTACAGAGATCACTGGGTACTTGCAATATGTTTCAGAAAACAGAAGGCTTAGCTGTGAGACTTGCATATAATGGAAATACAAAGTGGGGCTTGAGTTGCAATACAACACAAACAATGTATGGTCATTTTTTGTATCAATCAAATATAGTTTCATTATATTTTATAAGTCACAATACTGTGTTATGTTGATAGCAAATCGCATGTACCGCCATAATAGTGCAAATAATTTTAGTTTGTATTTATGTGCTGAAATAATACACCCTGTATGTGCAGATGCAGTTATTATTTGTGTATATCCACAGTGTGGATATACACTGTGGATATAGTGTTTTTTTATTGTCATAAATCTATAAATTCAATTTTATGTTTATTATTGAGGTCATACTTAAAGGTGGTGTTGTACTGGACTACATTATATTCCAAGGTGTTCCTAATATTCTGACCCTCTCATGTATGAGTATAATGTAGTCCAGTTCAACACCACCTTTAACTATGACCTCAATAACTATGATCGCATGCACACACGCACAAAGAGTTTGACCATGGAACATTTTGTGGCAATCAAAAACGGTAGCAATTGTTCATTATAGTTGTTCCACATTAATGAGCAAAAGCTTCTTTCCTGAATCAACATCTTGCGGTGACATTGAACTATCATACAGGAGGAGATACCATTTATAGTCACAATAGGCCACAATGCATGACACAGTTTGAGTAATGGGGCATACAGTAGCTTTTTAGTTTGAAATAGTGGATCTATTGTAGTCCTGTTAACATGTATGTCTTACAGCCAGGCAAAAAGATGGAGAGCAGACCTTTTGTTTTATACAGTTATAACCTATATTTTACAATGACTGTCACAATATAAAAGGCCTAATTTGTAGTCATGAACCTACAGAAAATATCACTAGAATTTGTAGCTTTGTCCTGCTTTCCAAAGCGTTGTAGAGACTTTAATCTTATTGTTTAGCTATCCAGCTGTTAGGGTTTTACCTCAGCACTCTAGTAGTGTTGCATTTGGCTGCATCAGGCAGCTGTTTTCAGTGAAAAAGCTCTAAAAATGCATTGTGCACCACCTGCCTATAGCACCAAAGAACCAACAGGCACAGACTAGCTGGTTAATATAGTGAAGTATTTAGCATCTAAAGAGCCAGATATTTCCCTCAAGAGTTGGTGGAGACCAAAAACAGAGGTAAAAGAACATGCCAGCTAGATACAAATCTAGCTCCAACTGAAAGCTAATGTTGCTCTCTAACCACTGCATGTGTACAAAAAAGTCATTTAATGCAGGTTTACAGGTATAAATGCTGTTTCAAAGCCTTCTTTGCACTGCCATGGAAAAGGTCATGACCTGAGGGTCCTTGGTGGAATAATGTAATGTCATGTCAGTTACTAGACAGCTTTTCTTTTCTATTCTATCTAGACATAAGCAGACAGAGAGACAGACAGCATTTATACTCTTTCTGTTATGTTTCTTTCTCTTTTCCCCCCTCTGATCTCTCCTGCCTCTAATCCCCTTCATTCCTCACTCATGCATTGTGAGGGTCATTCCAGTGTCAGCCATCACCTACAGCCATAGAGCAGCAGATTACTGGGCTGATATATAGTCTCTGTATCCGCTAATGCCAAACATGTTGTAAGCCAGAGAACATACAGTCATGGATCTATGCTATAGCCTATATAGAAAAGGTAGCAGCAAACATGCAAGACTTTGCAACAGGAGATGTGTTTTTAGACAACAGTACATGCGCAGATTGTATTTTTAATATCTGACTGTAGTTTTAATGCATTTTTTTCTGGCTCAAGTTGCTTATTTAGCTGCTTTTGTACCTGGGCTTGTGTGCAGTGGCAGTACTAAAGAGGCAATTAATCCGACTATGTCTACTGACAGGAGATCAAGTTGCCCTATGGTACATTCAGGCCAACAGCCAACCTCAAATAACAGCAGGCTGTTCATTTGGTAGGACCAATATAACTTTGCCTCCAGGAGCAAAGACCTAAGGCATCCACCAGCAGCTGGAATGCAGAGAAACACGCAGAAATGTCGTTTTCCATCACTCAAAAAGGAGTGTGTCTCTGCTATTTTGTATAACATACACAGCCTGAATTTCATGCAGTTTCGTCAAGAACTTTCCCAGTTTGGGTTTGATAGTACAGCACTTATCAAGCCATCTCGCTCTCCAAACGGGGACGCATCTAATCAAAATGACTGTCTGTGGCGCTTGAAGCGCATGCAGCCCTCCATCCTCTACCGGAGCAGCTGGCTGTCGGTCGTTTCAGTTCAGAGGAGAGGCAAAAGAGAGGGAAACGGAATTCCAGCGAATTAATCGCCGTCTGTTCCACTCGGTGAGAGAGAGAGTCAAAGTCAGTCAAATGGAGAGAGATGGAGAGGAGGTGGGGGGAGTGGAGCCTGACGCAGTGTTAGAGGCAGAAACTGAGAGGGGAGAGAGGGAGACCGAGGGAGACAGAGGCGAGGAGGCAGCACATCACATCAGGCGCCGTTTTACATCTCAAAATCTTGACGCGGGTAGATCGCCACGCTGGTTGCTGCTGCTGCTGCGACCGCCGAGCCACTTCCCGGTCACTGCTCTTTAGAGAGACCGCAGAGGGGACAGCAGCGAGCTGGGATCAAATCAGTGACAGATATCAACACCGCCACACACACTGCCAGAGGCAACGAGCGGACCGTTTTGCCGAGGAGTCTTCTTCCACGTTGGCATCTGGAAAAGGTAAAGAGGAAACCACGAGCGAACACATGCAAATTGCGCACAGAGCTGTGGCTTTCTTTCATGTGCCTGCGTTGTGATGGACTCGCATTGCGTAGGCAACTTTGAAATAGCTACGCCAACAGCTTTGGCGTTCCCATGGCTCTGAAATCACCAACACTGAACCCGTGTGTGTGTGTGTGTGTGTGCGTGTGTGCGTACACAGTCGTGGTGAATGAGGGACATTTGCTTGATGGCTATTCCCAGTCAGCTTTGCGTGTCTTATCTCCATCCCCGGGTGTCCACTGATAGTGCCGCCGCAGATAACCAGATTCACATTATCGGCTCCTGATGAATGTGCGAGGTGCCTGATCATCCCTGCCTCAGTCTATCCAACCTATAGCTGTGCAGCTTAGATCTGAGCCTGTTCACCAGTTAGAGATTTGTATGGAACGTGTCATGCTTTGCGCAAATTTGGATGATCAATTAATATTCGCTTAGTTTTTGCCCCGGGACTGGCTGCAGTGCCAGCGTGAGGCACATGCAAAGTTAAGCCATCATGCCTGGACCACAGTCAAGCGGGCTGAGTGTTCAGCACCCTGGACAGCGGTTCTAGACTCTCCGGGCTGCAGCCGGTGGAAAATCGATCTCACTGAACTCTTTTCCCTCTGAGGTGTCTCTCATCTGTATGCTCATGTCAGCGTGTTTCTTATTTTAGATGTGAAAAGTCTGGAGAAGATAGAACTTTACCACATTACGCTTAAAACTACATTACTTCGTATTCTTCGTCGTCAGGAGAAACACTCTCCAAGACGATTTCACTGTAAGCACACACAGGGTTTAGCTTGTCTGTTTTTTTTAAATGCCAGCCTCAACATTCATATCAATACAGTGTAGATCATTCCAACACAAATGCTCGTGCTTGCAGGTGATTGAGATGACAAATTAAAGGCGTAGTCTAACCATGTAGTACAGCATTTACACAAAGTTGGGGGGACTCACAATGATGGTAAAAACTTGAGTTTATGAGTGGGGGAAAATAATGAATGCAGATGCTTCCACACTTGGTCACCTGATAATTTAATGGTGTGAATCATCTGCTATGGCCTTTGTAGTCACAGGTTCTCAGGTAAATGCCTGTGGGAGATTCTGGACTGGTGCAGTAGATGGTGCTTTCCACCACCATTAAAATAACAAATGATGGTGGTGATGATATCTTTTGGAAGAATGATGTTTATTCTCAAGTAAATGATGCCGGTGAAACATGGTATTGTTGTTTTTACTAGTCTGTATGTTTACTGCACTGCAAAGCAGCACAATAAACTCTCTGGCATAAAGTTTAAAACATTACCCTGTTAAAAGAAGGTTGTGCAGCTAAATTTTAGGGCTGTTAAAAGTCTTGATGTGCAGTTAAAACTGTAGCCCACTGAGTGCAAGTTTATGACACAAAGTCACTCAGCCAGTTAAATTTTGGCTGCTGTGCCTTGTGCCTCGTGTCAATCGTCCCACTATCTGTTGCAACTGATGTAGCTGCCACTTTGTCCCATAGGACATGGACTAGTAGCAGAGTTCTTCCACTGACTGACTCCAGTTGTTGGCTAAGTGCCACAGAAGGGGAGAGGGGAAGACTGATAGACAGTGATCGAGGGACAGGCTCCACTCATAGCACCATGAATGGACAAAGAGGTAGTTCTAGTGAAACAGAACAGAATCAGTGACTGTTTTTAGGACATTATGCATTTTGGGCATGAGAAATGGTTGCCTGGCTTTTTTTTAAGATCAGCAATCTGCAGCCACTGTGAAGTCTTTGGGAATTAATTGGTAACTATTTTAAAGGTCGCTCATCTTGCTTTCATCCTGCATTAGTACTGCAGTGTTTGGTTTGCTGCATCATACTTCTCTCGTCTCATGAGTTTGGGCTGGAACAAAACAATCTCTAAGCCTGCACTAAACTACTCTGTTTGGGTGTTGAGAGCTAAAAACCTCACCTAATACAACTAAAGAAAATCTCTCCACAAGCAGCTTTTTCTTTTCTTTTCGCTGCTGCTGCTGCAGTAGACATATGAAAAAAATGGCGGGACTCTAATGGTTACCTGTAAAATAAGGCAGGTGGAAACATTAAAGATCAGCTGTAATGAAAAGTGACAACTTTATAGAGAGGAGCTGCCAGAATGTCTGCCAGAACAAAATGAATGAAAAGTGATGGGTTTAATGTCTGTGCTGTGTAGTCATTGCACCAGGTTGTTGCTCTGAACCTTTATCTGAAGTTGTAAAAGGGTTTTTCTCTGTATATCATTTACTGTAGGCCCAGGAGTGAGCTCTCCATCCATGGAGTCTGCTATCCACCCAGTACCTAGAGGCATCACTGAGGGGCAAATTCTCTAAGAATACTAAAGAAACACTGCTCTGTAATGGGAGATCCCTACTCGCTCCCACCCATTTACAGATTTTTTCTTCTTCTTCAGTTGCAAAGGAGGAACATGGAGAATGTATTTGTTGAAATCCTAGACCAAATTTTAGAATAATCTTTCATCATTTGTTATTTGTCAGAGCCATTCATATTACAACAGAAACTTTATATTAAGCATGGTTGTGCACAGGGCAAGGGCAGTGTCTCTTGTTATTGTGTTGTCTTCATTAAGAGGGAATACCCCGTGGTGTGGGATTAAATCTGCATGCATAGTTAACACGGCACCTCCCTGCCGACTGGGTCTGAATGTGAAGACTGTTTTTGTACTGTGCTGTTGCTGAGAAATAGTCTTCTGATACATTATAATTATTTTTGATGATTGAAATATGATTGGGAAAAACAAGCTGTAAATAAGTCTTAGATTAGGCTAATTATTAGAAATGTAACAAAACACAATAATCCTGTGTAACATGTTTTTACACAACCACTTCCACATTTTCATTAAGTTCAATTCTGTATTATGCTCTAACACACAGCAGTGAACCTTTATCAACAAAGCTTCTGAGGGATGTGTAGAGACGTGCAGAAAGACATCCAGCAACTGCATCCAGAAACACACACACACACACACACGTACATGTGCATGCTATAGACACAAACTTTCCAGCACAGGATGCACACACTCAAACAAGCACGTGGATTAATAAGGCACCATATTCCCTGTAGGAGGCTAGTTAGCATTTCATGAAGATTGCACTAACACTAGGGGAAGTGTAATTAGGAAGTTATTGTTACAAGTTGCAAGTCACACACACGTACGTGCATGCACACAGCATGCGAATAGTAAAATGGGGGTGGGGTTTCTATCTCTTACTCCTGCTGTGTTTTAGCAGTCTGGTAAGTGCTTTGCCTGCTTTCTGACATCCTCAAGCCTTAAAGGAAACTACTTTGATTCTGTTTTGTATAATGTAAATGTAAAGGGTCAGTTATACAACTTTGTAAAACATTTTTCTTTCTTCTCTCTCATGCAGATAGTTTTGGCCTGATTTTCCCAGGCTGTCAGAAATCTGTCCCTGAGATTTCTGCCTCATTCCAATTTATTTTGCACTGATTTAATCTTTAATTGCTGAGATTAAAAATATATTTTTCAAGACTATTTTGGCAACGGCAGTCAGCATAACACGGCGTGACACATCAGACCTACACAAAAATGCAATTATAAATTCATGAATAACATTTCTAATACAATCAGATAAAAACAACTCTATCCTAGAAGCAACCTACAGATGGGTGCAGGGTCCAAAATGAACTTTTTGACTGACCAAGGTAGCTGTTGGTTGAAAAATCCACTGGCCAAAATATTAAATTGCCTTTTTGTGTCACATACACGTTTGTTAAAGGATTTAAGTTAAATGATAAGGTATTATGTTGAATACAAACATAAAGAGGCCAGACCAAAATCTGAAGCAAGATTATTTTAACATATCAATCAACAGTTAAAGTAATTTTAAATTAAAAATTTAAAGCCACAGTGGAACTCAAGAAGTCTTAATTGAAAACCTCTGCTTAACATGCAGTGTGTGCCATTAAGTGCACTTCAGGGACATACAAAAGTAAATTTGAAGTTATGTAAAGCCACTGGATGTTTAATCATTTGAACCATAAAGCTCCTCCTGAGACATCTCAGTCTCTACCCGCTTCTTTGCACAGTCCATGAAGTCTGGTCTCCTGCGCACGTCAGTGTGGTGCATGCACATGCACGTGTCCTTGTTCTGCAGGGACCCACTGTTACTGTGCCTCTTAATGGCTATCGTTATGGTCAGATGATTCGATAGACAGTCTTGGACAATAATTATCACCTGTTTACACCAGAAGTATTTCAGCCTTGTTTCTGAGACACGTGTGTAACCGAAAAGTGCATTTTTACGCTCGGCTCAGACAGCCAATTAAAGGCAAAGTGGGGGCGGGTCTTCACAGAATACGTGTGTGTGTGTGTGTGTCTCAAACTTCAACACAGACAAAAGCAGTTCACCCATAGTAGAGACTCAGGATACTGTTTTATTACCCGACTATTTTGCTACAAACATTTAGCCTCCAATGTGGTGGGTAGTCTCCTGAGATTTACTGGCCAAATGGAAAATCTACCCGTATTTGATGCCTGGTGGGTATTAATTCAGGCCCTGAATGGGAGACAAATGAAAGAAACCAACAGTGTCTTACTAAGGTGCTGGGCCACCATTTGCCACCAGAACAGCTTTCATTGTGTCTCTGAATTCGACTGGATGGATGAACAACATTCTTCCTCATTTGGTGTTTTGACGATGGCGGTGGAGACGCCGTCTAACATGTTGCTCCAAAATCCTCCATAGGTGTTCAGCTGGGTTGAGATCTGGTCACTGTGAAGGCCGTAGCTTATGATTCACATGATTTTCATACCAATCAAACCATTCAGTGACCACTCATGACCTATGCATGGGAGCACTGTCATCCTGGAGGAGACCACTCCCATCAAGACAGAAATGCTTCATAAAACTGATGACTGAACAATTCTGTACTGATTTACAGTGACCCCTCCCTCAAAGAGGACAAGTGGACCCAAACCATGCCAGGGAAA